TGAATGAATGAATGAATGAGTGAGTGAGTGAGTGAGTGAGTGTGTGAGTGAGTGAGTGAGTGAATGAATGACATACATACATGAGTGAATGAATGACATACACACACAAATAAATAAACCCCTTCTTGCTCACCGGAATGTCAGCTGTTATTGGCCTTGAATGAGAAATGGTCTTCAGAATATCACATTTTCAAAAATCTTTGCTCCTCAGCCAAAAAATCTTTTTTTTCAGGCCAATTCTGATCTTTGGGACATTATTAACCAATATCCCTGCCACCAAGGGTGTGTATTTACTATTATTATATGGGTATGCATGTATCACTATATGGATATTAACAATCGCTCGCTCTGATTGGCTACTCTACTACTTTAGGCTATCAGCTCATATTCCATTAGTAGAGAAAATTCAAAATGGCTGCTGACCAATTAGCTCAACATTCTGAGAGAAAACAACAAAAAAACACCAAGGGAACTAGTAATGCCTTTTTGGTGGTAATAAAGCCTAAGTTTTAATTATTATTCTAATACAGAAATTGCTACTTCTCTTGCAAAAAGAAAAACTTTCTGAGAGAAAACATTAAAAAAACACCAAGGGAACTAATAATGGCTTTTTGGTGGTAAGAAAGCCTAAGTTTTAATTGTTATTTTTTTACACAAAATGCTATTTTTCTCGCAAAAAGCAAAATAGTAAAAAGACAAACAAACATAAATCAAAACACTGTAAAACAAATAATTTAAAAAAAATTAATAGCAATTTCTAGAGTAGCTGAAAAGCATTTCTAAGTTTGACAAATACATGACTACTAAAACAGAGTTAAATACCTGGCAAAAGCAATTTAACAGCATGGCTCAGCTTACAAAACAACCACATGATGGTTGAATTTCATTTGTGCTGCTATCGACAGGTTTTCAGAAATATCTCTTTTATAAATTCAATTATTAAAAAGCCTTATTATCTCATGATCCAGTGATTGTCTAGCATATAATAAAACAGTTATTTCACGGAACTTGAGTGCTACTGTACATGAGCTTGTAACCAACTCGGCCAGGAAGCCTCGTTGGCAAGTATTACTGTCGTTCTGTTTTATTGATGGATCCGAGTACAAGCCCGACTGTATGTTTCAGGGTAATTTTAGTGATCCTGAGAGTGCTCCTTTAGGCCAGCCTATCCAGCCAAGTAAACAGACACTCTCTACACTTTCTTGTCCTTCAGATCTTGGCAGTCAAATGATGATGACTGTTAACCAATGTTATGGTTGTCAAGTCACCTTAAAGTACAAAGCTGATTCAACACTCCAAGCAAAAGCAAAGTTTCACACACACATCCATCTCAGATTATGTTTCTTTTGTCCTAAAGTCGTAAGATCAATTGACAATTATCCATTTCAAACACTATATTAATTTGACTCTTGGTCTTTTTAGAATAGGAATTAATTCATTCAGAACTTTCTTAGCTCATATTATTTAACAATTATTCACTGAAGGCGAAGTGAATATTGGGAATATCTACCAAGACGCGAGTCTTCAAGCAGCAAGGTCAATATTCCACGATATTCACTGAAGCTGAGGCAACTAATTGTTTTAGTATAAATACACAGGTGATTCTTTCAAAAAAAGGAGAAAAAAAAGAAGATAAAAGAATTTTTTTCTAGTAACAGCAACAAAGTGGCTTGCCGCCATTTTGAATTATCACTGGAGGTGATTATCGCATGATAGTGTGAGTTTCTCAACCAATCTGTGTATTTTACTAAAAACAATTACTAGCATGGTTTGTTCACATGGTATTTGGCATCAATACCACTCGTGATATTTTGAAACAGTTCGTAATTTCACTTGCCGAAGACAGCTCATGAAATTACAAACTTAGTATTTCAAAATATGAACAAATTGTGGTATTTATGCCAAATATCACTCGCAACCATGCTATTACCTATGCAAAACAATAAAATTTGAGTTACATTTATTGAAATTTTATAAAAGCTACATGTATTCAAGGAAATAAAATGATGAAAGAGAAAGAAAAATACAGTAAGAGTATATTATTTTACACAAATAAAAAATAAAATGAAATAGACATTTGACATGAGGGGACGCACTCGGGTCTTTACTGTAAGTATGACACCTAAGGATTAAAACGTGTAAGGTGTCCTAAGTAAAAATAAAGCCGGAACCTCAAATTGTCATCGCCTTTTTTCTGTAGCGTTTACGTTTTGAGCAACTTCCAACCTCAATTTGTTTTTCACTTTCATCGTAAATAGAACACCAAGAGACTCACTAAACAACAACATCAAAGGATTTGAAAGATTTTTTTGTGTCCATATAAGTTCGGAAAGCGCCTGGATAATGTGTACTAGTTAGAAAGTTGTTATTATGATTCTAGATTTCAGCACGCTCCATTTCAGCAGCGTTGTTTGATCTCAAATTTCAGGCACAAATGTCAGGAATGTATAATTTGTATCGACATCAAGCAACTTTTCTTTGTAATACAAGGGTAAAATGATTGCATTGTAGCCACTTTACCTGCCGAATTCCCGCCACACCAGCACTAGCATTGTTTGATCTCAAATGTCAGGCACAGACTTAAACAATGGAAGAGAGGGATTATAAAAAAACACCTTCATCATAGCACACAGCTGGAGTTAATCTTAATCCCCATTTTGGTATTCAAGGAATGCGGGTAAAATTTTACTGTAAATGTATGTGGAGTACTTACAGTACAGACCCCAGTGCGTCCTCTCATGTGACATTCATGCATAATTTGCAATTTCACATGTGAAATTTCACTGTTGCCTGGTTACGTGCCTATTGTGGAGACTGGGAAGATGAGAAAAACTTATACATGTATTAGCCAAAAGGTCAGCAGAGAATTTAAATACCAAAACACAGCATCGATAATCAATAGAAACTATTTACGAATTTCTTAATTAAAGAAGTAACGCTCATAGGCTATTCAAACCATTTGACCTTTGGAATGAAAACGTCTGCATTAAAACAGCGAATGAAGGAACACGGACACAAGATAAGTAAACAAGTATAACGTTAATTTAATTCAAATAATCGAAAGGGAAAAAAAAACCTAGATAGAAATCCAACCACATTCGGTGTCCTAGTGCCCTTGCTATGATGAACTTTCAAGTGTAATTGCTGTGAATCTCTCCCAGTGAAGTCATTGGGATATAAAACAAAATAAACCCCTTCTGGCTCACTAAATTTATGGTTAATATTGCCTTGCTTCTTGGCCAAAAGTTCTTTTTTGTGACCATTTCTCTTACAGCCTATTCTCTAACAGGTTTTAATAGCTCCCATGTTATAAGACAAAAGATTAATCATTGATCTACTTTTTGTATCTCTTGCTTTTATTCTCTAGGGATTTACCGGGGTTTATCTTGGCCCATCAAATCTTAGGCTTACGTGCCGAGTCTCCTTTTATTCATGTACACGTACAGTATAAGTATGTTGAAGAAGGTAATCATATTTTAATCACGACTTTATGCCAACCACAAAATGACGGAAGCAGGGAAAATCGCTTCAATATTTTTTTCACTTGGTATTCTTGTTTTCCTTTAAAATTAAGCTTATCTGGAAAAAAAAATATTTTCTTCTTTCGTTTCGACAGGAAGGGAAAATCTTCATAGAGTAAACCAAGGAATATATTTTTCAATTTTCAGTAGCTATTGAAGACTTCTAACATAAATAAAGTATCTTCAAGGCCAATATTACCTTACCTTGTGGGAAAGCAGCGGTAACTCAAGGTTTTTTCCTCAAATTCTTATTCTTTCTTTTCTTGTTTTGTGGAATCATCTGTTTCATAAGTGGCTTAACGCAAAGAATTATGGGATGCCACAGGAAACCCAATCCAATATGTAGACTATTTCTCAGTCCTTCGCTCGGGTGCTGCACTTAAGAAACGGGTCCATATCATGTTCTTTMTCATGATATGTGCGGAAAAAGGATCCAATTATCGGTTCCCTATATCATGAGCCTTTTACTCATAAAAATATGAATTCATTGCATTTTAGAGTATGTTAAATTATTGACCAGTATCATTTAAGTGATTTATATATCGAATATGCGGAGATCAGCGGATAACATCGAAGTTTTTGCAAATTATCGTTGAAAATTTTCAGTATGATACAAAATGCGCACATTTTCTTGTATATGCATATACTTGTATTTCCATTCCTAAAAAACTATTAAATGCGTATATAATGGGGTTTACGCTCAACCATATTCTAAGTCAGTCAGTCAGTATCGTTGAAAATCATATCTAGCGACCTTTATTAGCGATACACATGAGACTGATACAAATTCAAGGTCATAAATAAATTAAAACTATCTAGCAGTGGATAATTTAAACCATATCTTAGTGAAATGATACGAAAGAATGCGTGCTTTCATGATGGAAATTAATACATAAATAATTTTATAATCTCTATATACCCTTTGTGCAAGATACAACTGAATAAGTACATCGTTTCGAATACATCTGACAAAAAAAGTAATGATTTCGTGACACGAGTGTGGGCTTGAAATATCTCTGAGTTTAACGGTAGGTACTGAGATGTTAGCCAGCTAAGTATCTCAAACGTTTATCACAGGCTGTTTCCTCTTATTTTTGAATGTTTGAAAAATGATTCAGTAAAGCATTTCAATTATAAATCAAAATTCAATAACCTAAAAAAATTCTAATTTCCGTGGACCAAATATTTATCGAAGTATCTAGATACCCGGCACCCGGGAACCAATACACGGGGGTTTTTGATTTTTGAAAAAAATCATCAAATAAACAGATCGGTAAGAGCATGATACCAAAAGCACTCATTTCTTGACCCTCTTGTATCAAACTCTCAAGATTCATTCTCTATTCCCATAACGATAATGAATGCATTCAGGACCTACCACTCTCTTGTACTCCATCGCCAGCTATATTCCAATCCCATACATTGGTTGCGGAATATCGCCCGTAAGAGCATGATACCAAATGCACTCATTTCTTGACCCCCTTGTATCACACTCTCAAGATTCATTCCCCCTTCCCATAACAGTAATGAATGCATTCATGACCAACCACTCTCTTGTACTCGATCGTCAGCTGTATTCCAATCCTACGAGCGCGGCTACCTCTGGAAGTGGTGGTAGGGAGCGCAAGTTTGGAAAATATAAGAGACTAGGGGAAAAAGTGGGAGAAGGATTGGATCGGAAAATATGAGATACTAGTACCTCACCCATATGTCATCTATATCACATGTGAGTAGCGTCTATTCGATTATTAGTCTTGCCCATTATTCTAAATTCCAGTACATTACAATTAAATCTAT